GAAGTTGTCAAAGTATTTGAGTTTTATGTAAAGAAGATTGCTTCAAGGAGCTTATGAATGAACAGTAGTTATCTACAATTACCAAGTTGAAAGAGTTGTTTTGATAAACTCCCCAACTGTCAAATCCATTTATGAAACCAATCATATTTTTAATAAGAAGGGACTAAAATGATTTATACTACTATCTTTTGAGGGGGTAGATAGGAGTAAGGAATGATGATTAGATTTGGGACTATAGGCTAGGTCTAGGACTTCGTTTATTGCTAGGGTTATGGTTAGAAGTAGAGTTAGTGTTAAAGTTAGGGCCAAGAGTAAGGCTTGGTCTAGTTTTTACCGTTACAGTTAGGTTTCATTTATTTTCTTTTTTCCTTGAAATCTACTTGATTTTCTCTTCATTTGGAAGTTCTATTACTACATTATGCCCTCTTTTTTTATATTATGGTTTTTTTGTTGTTGTTACAACTGTATTCTCTATCAGTCTTACAGGTCTGTTTTACTTTGCATACTTTGATATCTGGGTTAAGGGTCGCTATGAGTTGGAACTGACTTGATGGCACTTAACAAAACCATATGGCGTTTGAGTATAGGGGATAATGTCCTGTATGTTAGTCTCAGGTTGTTGTCCGCTATTGTTGGTTTTCTGTCCAAATAACTCTCTTATGTATTTTTTATAAGGTTGGTCTGGTTTTTAAAAATTCTTTTAATTTCTGTTTCTCTAAAAATGATCAAATTTGGCCATCATATTTGACAGACAGTTTTGCTGAATATGTGATTCTTGGTTATTGATTGATTTCTTTATTTCAGAGTTTCCTATATGTCATTCTATTGTCTTCATGCCTGCATGGTTTCTACTAAGAAATCAGAAATAGTTCTTTGTAGGTAACTTTTTGTTTTCCCTGAGCTACTCTCAGGATTCTTTCTTTGTCTTTGGTCTTGAAAAATTTGACTATAATATGTCTTGGTGTTTTTCTTTTGGGATCTATCCTGTTTGATGTTCATTCAACTTCTTGAATAGCTGTTATACCTTTTATGATGTTGTTGTTGTTTAGCGCTGTTGAGTCGATTCTGACTCATAACAAACCTGTATAGGGTTTCTGAGGAGCATCTGTTTGATTTTAACCAGCCACCTTGCAGTTCAAACTGACCTTTCAATCCAGTATATTATCCCACAGTGCCACCCAAGACTCCCTTCATGCTGTTTGTTGTTGTTAAATGCCTTCAAGTCAGTTCCAACCCACAGCAACCCTGTATAGGGTTTCCGAGTAGAGGCTTGTGAGCTTGAACCGCTGATTTTGAGATTCAAACTGACTTTGCAGTCCAACACCACACCAGGGAAATTTTTTCCCAACAATTCTTGTACAATATTCTCTATGGGACTTTTTGTGTCTTCCTGTTCTGGAATTCCTGTCACATGTAAGTTATTCCTCTTGATAGTGTCCCACATAAATCTTAGACTTTTTTCTGAGTTTTTTTTCTCTCTCTCTCTCTTTTTTTTTTTACTGTTCATCTGGTGGTGGTGGTGGTGATGTGACGTGGAGTCGGTTCCAACTCATAGTGACCCTATACAGGGTTTCCTAGGCTGTAAATCTTTATGGGAGCAGAACAGCGGAAACTGTTCTCCGGTGGAACAGCTGGTAGTTTCTAACTGCTGACCTTGAGGTCAGCAGCCCGATTTGTAACCACTATTGCTACCAGACAAATATTGAGAGTATTTTCTTCAAATTCAGTCTTTTGACTTTCAATCGATTCAGTTCTATTTCTTTGCCCTTTCACTATATTATCTATTTCTGAAGTCTTGATATTAATCTTCTGGTTTATAATTGCTGTTTTTGTATGGTTGCCATGTTTTCAATTTGTTTGTCAGTTTGCTTCTTGAATTTTTCCATAGTTTTGTCTATGTTTTCTGTGATTTCATCTGCAGTTTTCTCTATCTTTCACTCAATAAGTTTCAAGCTGCCTAATTAGCATTCTTTCCAATTCCTTGTCAGGTATAGTTCTGATACAGTTTCTGGTGTTATGTTTTATGATTCTGTATTTTGATCACTTGTTTGAGGTACTATCTCTTGCTTCTTTGTGTAAATTGAAACTGTATGTTTTTTCCAAGGCATTGTGGTATCGTATTTATGTTTACTTGATGATTGAATATTGATGTATACTTAGGCACTCAGCAATGATTGAATATTGGTGTAGTCTCAGGCACCACCACCGCCAGCAATGCAGAACATGGATCAGCTGGTGGTCGTGGTAGAGACCAGGCAGAGCAGAGGTTGTGCAGGAGGGGACCTGAGAACACTCTCCAGCAGTGTCCTGTGCCTGTATCATCAGCCACTCACAGAAGCTCAGGATGGCTGTGCTGAGCCTCGCCAGTCCACAGCCCTCCTGTTTTTCTTCTCTCTCACTGCTCTTATATTCAGCTTAATTATGACTCGGTTGAACTTATTTCTATAACTATAGTAATAGCCTCTCTGTCTTCCTCTGAAGCTCAGGATTCCAGGATCACCATCTGTATCTGTGTCACTTGGTCTTTGTTGTAGAGGGTCTGCTTAGTGCATCTACTTTCTGTGCCATCTTGACCTGGACTAGTACTGTCTTTCGTAAATTTATTAGTTAGGAGATTTTACTTTGCCAGAATTGTATTCTAGAGTGAGTCACATTAGGGGAAAAATAAGTTCTAAAATAATTGATTATGTTTAGAAATCAGTATTTGGAAGATGCATATAAGGGAAATTTTTTAAAAATTGATTTTAATAGAGTGCTAGAAATCACCCCAAACTACTCATAATTTAAAGTAGTTTGGACCTGGCTGTGAAGTGTGTATACTTTTTGGTGTTCTGTTATTCACTCCAGCAGTAGATTTCACTTAGTTGTAGTGTTCTTTAGCATACTATAAAGTTTAGGTAGACTCCCAGAGAAGTACCAAATGTAGTAGCTCAGAAATGTGGTTGGGTGGATGATGAAATAGCCAGACATTTCAATTTTAATCCAGCTAATGTAAAAAGGAGCACTGGTAGTGTAGTGGTTACAAATCGGGCTGTGAACCGCAAGGTCACCACCGGTTCGAAACTACCAGCTGTTCCGCGGGAGAAAGATAAGGCATTCTGCTCCCATAAAGATTTACAGCCTCGGAAACCCTGTACAGGGTCGCTATGGGTCGGAACCGACTCCACGGCACACAACAACAACAATGTAAAAAGTGGAGTCCTGGTGTGGCGCTGTGGGTTAATACATCAGACTGCAAACTCATTTGAACTGCAAGGTTAAGGTTAGTGGTTCAAGCTCACCAGCTGCTCCTTGGAAACCCTATACAGGGTTGCTATGGGTCGGAATCAGCTCTACAGCACTTAACAACAATGACAATGTAAAAAGTGGATAATTGAGTCAACCCCAAGTTTAATACTTGGGTTGTTTGCACATTTTATAATTCATTACTTTCAACAGGGTGTTGATATAGCTAAAAAAAATGAAAGGCCTGAAAGGCTAAAATATCTAGGAATAAGCCTATCCAAGTACATAAAAGATTTAGCAAGGAAAACTGCAAAACAGTACTAAAAGAGAACTACATAAATGAAAAGCAATTTTTTTTTAAATCTATGCTTATGAAGACTTAACATTGTGAAAATGTTAATAATACCCAAAGCAATCTATAATGTAATCCTGATCTTAAAAAATGAAAGAAAACAATATGAAGAGCATATTATTATCCTTTTCTTAGTCCTGGTGAGGTGCTGTGGGTTAATGCGCCAGACTGCACAGGTGTTTGAACTGCAAGGTCGGCAGTTCACGCTCACCAGCTGCTCCTTGGAAACCCTATGCAGGGTCGCTATGGGTCGGAACCGACTCGACGGCGCTTGACAGCAAGAAGTCTTACATTGCATTTGGTGACATCTCGTGGCAGATAGTGTGCTGTGACTCAGACTGAAGGAACAATTACCCTTTGGCTTAAAGTCTTTTGCCTACTGACGGTTTTGTTTTTCAAACTTAAATTTTGAATTAGTTGTGAGATTTTGTAGAAGAAAAATTCAGTTTTCCAATCCAAACTTAATTATAATGTTTGTTTCTGTCTTTATCATCTAGGGATGACATAGTTTCTAATGAAGGAGTTTGTTGTCTTATTTCTTCAAAAAGAAGTGATAAAATTCCACAATGTAGATTTAACATGATATTTGAAAATAATGACGGATGTATATCTTTTCAGGGCCATGATAATATGCCAGGGAGAAATAAGCTAAATTTCTCTTGATTCCATCATACTTATTTTCACAGGCATGATTATAGAAGTGCCACTATTGTCAAGTCGATTACAACTCACAACCCTATAGCATATAGTAGAACTTCTCTGTAGAGATTCTGAGACTTTAAATCTTTATGGGAGGCAGAAACCTCATCTTACTCTTACAGAGCGCCTGGTGAGTTTGAACCACTGACCTTATGGTTAGCAGGTCAATCCACAAAAACCTTCATTGCAGGTTCTAGCATTTCAAAAGAACACTCAATTTATCTCAATAATTCTTACACTACAAGCTAAAAAGAAGCACATTTTGCATGTTGTTGATGGTAAGTGTCACCAGGTCGGTTTCAACCCTCCTCACCGAGGAGCAACTGGTGAGTTTGAACTTCTGACCTTTCAGTTAACAGTCCAGTGCTTATTCTATAGTGCCATACCAGGACTTCACTATTTTGCTTAGCCTTCACTTTTTAAAACTATATCATCAAGTTCTACCTAAGATCTTTACCAAGGAAACCCCAACCCTACTTGTCTTATAGGAATGTCAAGGGCGTTAAGTGCTCCTTTCCTTAACATTGTTATCAAAGTATCAGACACCATTAGTCATTTTCACATATGATCACACACACACACACACACACACACACAAGAATAAGTCAAAAAGGGATGATCATTTTGTTCATTATTGTGCGATAAAATTGAGGACTATGTATAAAAATTAGAAGTTAACTTCTTTGCTATTTTCCATATCATATTTCTTTCTTTTTCCTTCTAGGTTGTTTGATGTGTGCACAGTGTCACGAACAGACAGAGAAACCAAACTAACATTAGTATTTGAACATGTTGATCAAGATTTGACCACTTACTTGGATAAGGTTCCGGAGCCTGGAGTGCCCACTGAAACCATAAAGGTACCAAGAATCATCTTTCTGCCCGTTCAAGCAGTTACACTACTGTAGTCTATTAAGTAATGGCATTCTTTCTTTATGAAAATAGCCAGAAATACTGGCTGGAGCTTAATATATAATTAAAATATCAAGTAAGGGGGACATTCAAAGACTAGATTAGTATATTAAGATTAATGTATTAATTAATCTATAATAAGTTTATATATTAAGCCTTGGAGCTAAATATATAAATAAAAATATAACCTAAGGGGATGTTCAAATAAGAGATTGATGCTAGTTCATGAATTTTAGGGCCCAGTGGGAAAAAAAAAATTTAGTTTTAATATGTGAGGGTAAGTCAAAAAAGTATTGCTACAAAATCATTGAAACTGTAATTAAACAAAAATATCAAACTGTGAAGCTGTTGTTTCCAACATGCCCTCCATCTAGGTTTAAACACTTATAAAGGCAGTGTTTCCATCTCTCTAACTCTTCTGCAAAGAATTCTGTGCTCTTCGATTTTATACCACATCGAAACAATTTTGACAGCTTCAAGGGACTCAAACCATGGTCCTTTTAATTGTTCTTTGAGTTACGTAAACAAAAACAAGTCTGAAGAGGCAAAATCAGGACTGCAGGAATATGCAGGTAGGTGCATCATCATGATGGAGAAAAAAATTCCTCATTGCACCTTTCCTGGCTTTTGTCTCACTAATGCAGTTTTCAGTTTTCTTAAATCTTCATAATAATCCTCCATGAGCAACCTACGTCCTTTGAGAAAAACCTATTAAGAATGTCCCCTTGGTGGTGGTTTTGTACTGTGGAGTCAGTTATGACTCATAGCAACCCTGTATAGGGTTTCCGAAGCTGTAAATCTTTACAGGAACAGAAAGCCTCATCTTTCTCCTGCGGAACAGCTGGTAATTTTGAACTGCTGACCTTAAGGTTCGCAGCCTGATTCATAACCACTACGCTACCAGAGCTCCTTAATGCCCCCTTGGGAATCATAAACATCAGTTACCGTAACTTTCTAAGCTGATCTCTTTGCCTTGAATTGAACTGGCCCAGCAGATCCCCTGAGAAGCCACTGTTTTGATTGAGCCCTTTTCTTCTGAAGGTACCCTGATGAGACCAAACCAAGTCTACAACTAAGAGAACTTGTTTGCAGCCACCCACTGATCACAGAGACATGTTTTGTTTGGAATAAACTCATGCATGAATGAAATAGAACCCTTTATGAAATAGAATGAAATAGAATACTTTAGATTTATCCTCATGTGTGTGAGTGTGTGTATATGTAGATTCCTTTGGAAAATACTCTGCTGTGTAGACTTTCAAAATGTAATGTCTTTGCTCACCTTCTCCTTTAATTTGGCATTTAAACTTGCCTGTCTAGTGAATTACCTTTCCTATTATGTAACCAGGCTTCTGAGCTATCTTATTAAGTCTTTGAGAACCTAGTATCATTTTTGGACATTCTGTCCACATGCGCATTTGATGAACTTGATGATATAATTTTTAAACATGTTTTGTTTAGTATAGTTGGTAATATAATTTTACAAAGAGGCACTGAAATGTTTCACAGAAGATCAGTAGTTTTTCTAAAATAGACCACAGTCTTTGAGCTCAAGACCATATGGCCTCTTTTGATGGTTCAATCTTGGAACAAAAATGGTATTTTATTTACTTAGCTCTATGATAAGTGAATTCTATAGAGCTTGAGAACACCAGAAAAACTCAATGTTTATGTGTTTGTGTGGGTCATTTTCTTTGTGAATTAGATTTCATTTTATCTTCAATTGAGCGTTTCTTAGATATTTCTGCTGATTACAATATTTTTCAGTAAGAGATAAAATATACTATTAGATTTATTTTGTAAAACCCAGACTTCAGAGACTAATACACACTTAATAGCACCTGTTTTATGCCTCTGGGAAATATCTGTTTTCATGAATCTTATCTACTTGCAGTAAACAGTGACTCTGATGTCAGTATGGGATGCCCAGGACTGATTTATCTTTCCTGATTTGACATAATGCAAAGCGACTGACTGGTCCTCTGTCCTGCTGATGAGGAAAGTCCTAACTCCTTTTCTCCTCTTACCCTTAAAGTAATCAAGCCCTGGCCTCTCTCAGCTCCTGGTGGTGGTCTCCACTTTGCCTGAATTAGGAGCAGGTGATTTGTCTCATCTTTGCAGGACACAGAGCAAATTAACATGAAAATATCTCTTCTCTGAAAACAAGGCAGGCTTCAGTGCCCTGTCACTGCTGGTCATTAGCCATCTGCCACCAACACTCATACTCTGTTTATCACATTTGAAATTCAGAGCAGATGTTGCATAATAAAGTGATTCCAAAAACAAGGCAAGAAATTCAGAGAACCAAATACTCTACAAAAATGTTGACGATTGTGGAAGGAGAATGTTTTCAACCTAGTATCTTCATGGCTGGAGTAATTGAATAGACCCTCTCTAAACAATCTTAGTGTGCATATCTTTCCTGGCAGCTAATGGAGAAACTATTTCTCATAGTAACATGAGTTGTGTGTGTCTGTGTGAGAGAGAGAAAAAGAGAGAAAGAAATAGAACATTTAAAAAATACCTAAGAGAACTATGTAGTCAAATGTCTTTTTAGAAGGAAAGTGGGGTATGATAAGACTAGTTTAGATGCAAAGGGCTAGTTTGAATACCACATAGCTCGGTCATGGCAGTGCTGACTTGTACCATAAGATGGGCCTTGGCAAAACAATTTGACTGAACATAGCTCTTCCCACCACATTGGCACTGTTGGATCTCTCAGCGCTCACGAACATGGCTTCCCACTTAGTTTATTTGGTACTCAGCACCAACACTGTCTTACTTGACCCTTTGATGCTCTCAGCCCACCAACATCCTCCAGCTTCACTTTGCTCCCAGCTTCTCATTAACACCTGATGTTAAAGCTCTCTCCACACTGAGAACTCAGAATCTTTTCTTTTTCATTCTACTGCCCTTTTGCATTGACACAGGATTTGATTGAATTGATTGTTGTAGTATTTTATCTAATTGATTTATGCACATGATTTGTTGTTGGGAGTTGTTGAGTCAATTCCCACTCATAGTTACCCTGTAAGTTACCACCCCCCATGTGACAGTAGAACTGCCCCCAGAGGGTTTACTTGACTGTGATAATTACAGAAGTAACTGCCAGGTTTTTCTCCTGCAAAGCTGTTGAGCTGTCAGCCTTTTGACTAGCAGGGGAATGTGCTCCATAAAAAACTCTACCATCCATAGCATATTAACTATTGTGTCTTCAGTCATCTCTAATTAAAGAAAAAACATATCAAAACTTCCATCTAGAATATCAGAACTCTAGATTATTACTTGTGCAAAAGTCAGCTTCAAGTATAGTTTGTTGCTCAAATGAAAGGAGGTTTCCTACATTCACAGCCCTGCCCTCACATATATGAGCTATATGAATGAATGTATCTGTTTATTTTTGAAGAGCATCATATTGTCAAGTAAAAGTTAAGGAGCCAGTCACAAAATAGAGGGTTAAATCAAAGTAACACCAGCATTTGATCATTGACTCAAATAGGAGGGTAGTGAGTCAACACTTGAGTTTAATCCAAATATAGGGAGAAATGTGGAGTGGGTGAGAGCTTTAACAACAGTGGTAACTTTATTCTCCTAAACTCTGAAATTCAGATCAGAAACTTGGAAATAAGTGAAATCTTGAGTGTAATCACCGGATTTCACACCCTTACTAATAATTCCCATTTGCTTTTCCCCTCCCCTCATCAGAAACATACTGCCCCTTCTAGTAACTCAAAGAACTTCTTCAGAGAGAACACTTTTATGTAATTCTGAGGACTGTCAAATCCTTATGCAATTTTCTAACTGCTTCTATGAGCTAAAAATTTCTGGAAGGAAAGGAGGACAGAATTATGCAAATACTTGATATCTAAAAATATGTGATAACAAATTAACAGAGTTCTTTAGTTCTTTGAACAGGAACTATGGGTTTTTAAACAGTTTAATGTCTTCCTAAAGATACTAGGAATATACTGACTACATAAAATAGTGCAAATGATGATTTTGATCATTCTAATCCTATCTCATGCAGCACCCTTAGGATTCCTTCTCTGGCCACCTCAGTGAAAACTCCTTGTCTAGTTACAGTTTACTACATTATTATCTTATTCTGTTCTCGTCATAGAATTACCTGAAATTATCTCATTCATTTTTCATGTTTATTATCTATATTTTCCAACTAGAAAATAAGACAACTGAAGTCAGGCCTCTAGATTATTACAGCATGCCTAGTGCCAGGAAGATAGTGGCCCCTCAGTGAAGCATGTGTTAGTGTGTGTATATATAGGTGTTTACTTTTCTTAACTCGGAAATAAGACATCCATTATCCCCATTATACAAATGAGAAATTGATAGTTTTCAAGGAAAATTGTTTCTTATATGAGCTAAGGGATATCTTATCTCAGTACATCTATTAGGCTATGTTTTAGTCAGTTATTTATGGTGATCAGAGTCACTGGTCGGAATTTTTGTATTACAACTAAGAATTGCTTGGTTGGCTTTATTTAGATATAGTCTATAAATAATAACTCATCTCGACTAGAACAATAAAACATTTTGATCTTTTAATGTAGTACTGACAACTAAATTCCAGAGATCATTTTTTTTCCATGTTGGACTTTTGTATACGTTTTATACTAAGGATGGGAAACCAAGTCTAATGAAGATAATAAGTTTCCCTATGTGTAAAACTCTCGTCTTCAGTATGAGTAGAAGCTCCAAAGGATTAAATTATTTTTAAAGTTAAATTTAAAATACTGGTGTGGTACTATAGGAGAAACAATAGACTGCAAGATTGATTTGAACCACAAGTTCAACGGTTTGAACTCACCAGCCAGTCCTCGGAAACCCTGTACAGGGGTGCTAAGAATCAGAATTGACTCGACGGCACTTAAGAACAGCAACAACAATCCTATATATATTAATTTGGATTTTTATTCTCCATATACAGAAT